AGCTCACAGACTCTGGTGCCACAGGGGATAGTTTGGACTGAGACTGGGGCTACAGCAATGCAGCTCAGCTCTCGAGCCTCCTGGTGAGGGTGGGGAAGGCGGCTGCTTAATGTGAGCAGTAACATTGGCCAAAATGAGTGAGGTAACAGAGACGGTCAGAGGAGAAGCCTCCCTGAGCCATGTGCAAATAGATTTCCCTCTGCAGAAGGAAGTCCTTTTCCAACCCAAACCGGAACACATTCACTGAGTAGCAGGGCACAAACTGCTGCAAGGAAAGGCAAACAGGAGACAGCACCGGGTCTGTCCATTTGGGGTGAGGGTGATCTGGAGAAAAAAGGGGGTGATTGTCCAGCAGCAAAGGTGGGAAGGGAGGAGGTGGAGCCAGGCAAGCCTTGTAGCTGCAACACATGTCGGGGGGGGCCCCATGCCCGTGTGAAAGACCATATTCTCCTGCACGCGCTGTACGAAGTGATGCCCACGCTCTCTGCCTTGTTAAAGGAATAACCAGCTAGGGGGCTGAGTAAGAGAGGGAGAGAACAGCACTCCTTTTTTGGCTGGTTTGCACATCTAGAAAATCAGTGTTATGGCACAAATGGGTTTGCGTGCAGAGGGGGGAGAAAGTGAGCGCGGGGCAATGGCTGACCACAAGGAAGGGAGCGTGAACCTTGAGCACGGTTCACTCAAACAACATCCCTGTGATTTGTTTCTCAAACCAGCTGTTTCAGATGCTTTGGTCTCCTGGTTCCCAACCAGAGTGGTAGTTCTACAGTTCATGCCCTCCCACTTCTCCAACCTCAAACCAGGCTCCGTCATGATAAGAAGCCCCCAAATGGCAGCATCTCAGCCTTGCAAGGACCCCACCAGAATTAGCCCTTCAGGTGGCTTCCCAGGAGGCACAACACACTGTAAAGGCTACAAATGGGGCTTGGGGAAGCAGAGCTTCTACAGTAATGGCCCAGTTCAGTGCAGTGGATTTACTGACCATGACAAGCCAGGCCTCTCTTCCTCCAATGGGCAGCAACTGAAGCCTTTGGATATTGAGACCTGCAGCTCGGGCCTTAAGTATTGTATTAGCTGTGCTCTTTTTCTGTCACCTGTTGGGCCACTTGACTAACTACCCAGAACGACTTGCCCTCAAATGTAAGATGTAGTACAAACTACCCAGGGCTGGTTCATACCCCGTCTGGAACATCACTTGAGAAATATGCAGGTCAACCTGGTGGTGGAGGGGAGAAAGCCTGTCTGTGCTGAGGGATTGATGGTGTAAGGCTTGTTAGACACTTGGGTGGATTTATCTCATTCAGGAGCGATGTGACCCTAGAGCACTGATCTTAGGGCTTGTCTAAAGGGGAAAGTAAGCCAAGGCGTGAATGTGTGCTGCACTCGCCCTGCTCTGAAAGTGGAGTTGGTTACCTTGCATTTACTGTGCCTTAAGAGTCTCTACACACAAAGCGAGCCGAAAGTAGGTCGTGCACTGTAAATACAACCCCTCCCTGACTGCACATAGACAAGCCCTTGGATTATTGTGGATCAAAAGGCTAGTGAAGCCACGTGCCTTTGGAATGGAAGCGCCCTCATGAAGGTTTAATGTGCCCTGACTTCAGTGCATTTATCTTTAGTTTATGCACCTTCACTTTCCCACGTGTCCCCATGCAAACAAGCCTGAAGGGTAGGGAATCCCTGGAAAGACACTGGGGGAAGAGAGAACATACCAACCTGAGGTGACCCTCTCCATCCAGTAGGGCTGGGAGACCCTACACCACCAGTTGGCAGGGAGAAAGGGGAGGGGAGGAGACAAGGCACATTGAGTCGTTCGACGCTAACCTCTGTCTTGCAGGTTGTCTGACAATAGAAACACTGGCTGTTTTAGCTTTGGGCTGGATTTGGAGTGGAGAGCTCTCCTCCAGTCTCTCTCTCTAGTGCCGAATGATGGGAAAGCCACTGCATGCCCCACTCCAGCTCCTCTCCATTCAGGCACCCCTAGCTACAGAAAAGGTGAGGAAAGGTCAAGCCCTAAAATACAAAGCTACTGTGGAGGGGAACAAAGTCAGGCCACGTGCCACAAGTCCTCTGCTCACAGGTTCCCAGGACCCCCCCCCATTTTCTACTCCTCCCCTGCTCAGCATGCTCCCAATTGAAGGTTATTGCCGTTGTGCCCTGCAGTCTCTCCTGCCATTCTTCAACGTCACAGGACATGCGGAAAGCAGCTATCTGGAGAAACCAGAGAGCAGGAGAGCACTGGACAAGGTTTATATTTCTACCTTACGTCACTCAAAGTTTCAGCTTTAGTTTTTCCACATATTTGCCTCTTTCCCATTTGGGTACAGGATCAAGTTCAAGCCAAACCAGCCATTTCTGGTGTTTGTCATGCACCCATGCTGTACCCAAGACTGGAGACAGAGGAGCCTGTGCATCTCGTGAGAGGCACTTCTTATGAGACTTTCTGCCCAGCTCCACACCTTCCAGCCATTCAGAAAGGTGTCCAGGTACGCAGTCAATCTTCTGAGAGCTTAAATACCCCATATGCAGCTCCTTCATCACTAATGACTAGCAGTACCTTATTTATGTGCATAGAAGTCAGAGCAGAGCCTTTGCAAAACATCTTGTGGTGATTAGCTGAGGTCCAGGTCTCTACTGCAGCCCTCCTTTTGTAACAAAAGAGCCCCCCCCACACACTTGTGTGCTATAATTTGGCAAAAGAGCTACTCTTTGTGGCTTATGGAACTGCATGGCTCTACATAAGAGAACAATTAGGCCCCACATCACTGATGTTTTTACTGAGGTGGAAAAATCACTTCATTTAATGGCAGCAGCAATATTGCAGGAGAACAGCTCTCAGACTAGGAAAGCCAAAGCAGCAAAACCCCACCTCTTCCTTTAACCTCTACAAGAAAAATAAGCCGCAGATGTGCGTGAGCCTAAATGCTAATGGAGAAGTGATGTACATCTCCAAGATCCCCTTGCAGAAAGGAGACCTAGAGAGAGAGATAATCGGCTCCAAGTGCAATGGGGTAGTTAAACTGCAGTGCACTTCTACCAGTGGCAAACATGGGGTGCTGACTGCAGGTTTAGATACTAACATTATCATTAACAAATACAGTCCAAAATCAAGATATCCACATGCGCTAAGGGTGGAGATATAGTGCCCTTTGTGCAAGTATAAAAAAACGATACTTATGCCCAAATGATTCTATTACTCCTGCGGTGTGGATGGAGAAATATGCATGCAGTAGGCTGCGCATGGACCAGCTACATACCTGGACATGTGCCTGTGTCTTAAGTTCAGAAAATGTAGGCAGCAAGAAAACCATGATTAGCGGGTGTTAAATGGAGGAGGAAGAAGACTTTCTCATGTCTTAGAACTGAGTGGTTGGTGCATGTGCCAGGGTGGCAGAGTTATGGGGTCCCCTTACCCAGAGTGGGTTTGACCATTTGTCACTCTGGAGAGTTAGCTGGTTAATGCCTGACCTTTGGTGGGGTTGCAGCAGTTGACTGGAAAGCCTTTTGAAACCTGTGCTTTGGGGAGCCAAGAAATGGAGATATCTGAGGCCAGGAGAAAGGGAGAAGGCAGAGGGTGTGAGGCTTAGCGAAAGTAGCTTTTAGCCTGAAAGGGAACACAGTTCTGGGTTCCAGCCTGAAGCCTTACTGTCATCTGTCTTTTTTTTTTAATCCAATGACTTATTAATTGCATCAGGCACTGGCTCGGGCCTGTCAGAGCAGGCTCTGGATAATGCCAGCCCTGTATTACCTCTAAAGGTTAAAAGAACTTACTAAAAGTGTGGTTGCCCTATAAGCTGTACACTGGCTGATTGTACCCACTGCTTTGTGTACTCTTCTCTTCCAGTAGGAATTCAGCATGCCCAGCTGTGCCCAGGTCTTAGACAAACTTGAAAACATGCTCCTTAAAATGAGCGTAAGCCTGTTGGACCCCTCCTGTCTCCAACACCAATGCTGCATGCATGCTTAACTCGGCTACAAACCTGACACGCACACAGTGCAAGGCTCACTTCTCCACAGCTGTGGCCCATTTCTCCAGCGCAGGCAGAACGTAGATACCTAATTTATACGTTCAAATCTGAAACCTGGGCTTACCAAAAAAAGTCCATTTTTCCACACATAGAAGGGTTAGTGCCAAGAGCCACTGTCACGTACATAAGCATCCCTCCCTGCGTGCAGCATCTTACGCAGTACTATTTAGGCCATTAGCTGCTGGCATTAGTTTGCATTAATTGCATTTGGCTAGTGCATTAGTTGGAGTGGGAAGAGAAACCCTTTCTGCAGCAGACACTGGACATGAAAAACAAAGCATTCTGCCTGTGAAACCGAGCTCTCATCAACAGCAGAAGGGTCAGGGTTTTCAGGGGTAGCGCAGAGCATCACCATGACCTGGTCAGCAGAGAAATAAATATGGCAAGACATTTGCAAAGCATGTGCCTCCTGAAGACCCTGGGATGGGTGAACACTAACCTTCACTTTATCCAGGCTTGCAATGCTGCAAAGGCAGTAGAGCTCTCCCTGATTACACCCTTCAAGCCAGTCCCTGTTTTACCAGTAGAGCTGCTGGATTATTAAAGGCATTGAACCATAAACATTACAGCCAGGACTTTTCAAAGGATCCCAAAGGGCAAGAAAACCCCTGACAGGGGCCTGTGTAGAGTGGAGGAGGCAAAGGCAGGTCTCAAACCTCCCCGCAAACTGCCTGAAACTTAGCACTGACCTAAAAGACAAAGTGTAACAATACACTGCCTGCCGAGAGGCAGGGAGAATTATTTTTGGCGAGCCATGAGACTTATTATATAACTAGGCATCAGAGAGAGGCAAACACCAACACTGAGGAACAGGATCAGCTCCTGACCCTGAGGGCTTGTCTATAAGCAGCCATCTTTTTGTTTTACTAAGGGTTTGACTTGTTTTAACTGGAATAACCGTATGCATGGAGACTTAGATATCAGTTTAAACCTAGTCTGTAGTAATTAAGCTTCCACCTACGAATTTGCTGGCTCAAGTTAAGTTAACCACATGTAAACTGATGTAAACTGCTTCATGAGAGGATGCACCAGTTTATCTAAAGCTGTGCAAATCTGCATGTAGACCAGACTCCCTGATCTACCGGCCTACAGAACCAGTCTTCTTGGAGAAAATTGTGGCGTTTGGGATGTAGAACTAGATTAAACAAACCCCCAAAGCTGTGCTTCTGACCAAATAAGCATGGCAAACAGGTCTTTTCCCTCTACCTGGCTGGAGATTAGGACAGATTCACAGAAGTTAAGGGCTGGAAGGGACCATGTGAGATCATTGGGTCCAGCCCCCAAATGATGATTATTTGTGGCCTGAACAGACGGACAGGTTCCAGCACCTCTTGGCAGATCTGCACGCTCAGTTACAGAGGCTGAGATGCCAACTGTGCTGGCAGGAACCAGGGTTTCCCCTGGCACAGCTAGGGCAGCAACCACCCAGCTCCCCGCTGTCCTCCTGATTAAACTCAAGGGAAGAGGGAACCAGAAGCAGGACAGTTGCGGGAGAGAACCAAACACAGAGCAATAGGGGAAGGCGGCCCCTTCTCAACCAGGGTGCTGCCTCCTCTGGTGAGCTTGGCCCTTCTGTCCTTTGCACAGGCCACCCTCCCCAGCAGCACCTGCCCCATCTTTGCTTTCTTCCTCCCACACATCCTAGGGCTCTGTATTGCTCTACACTAAGCACTGTGCCAGCAGTTTCTGGCTCCTCAGGGAAATGCTAGGGAGTTGTACAGTAGTGAGCAGCATTAAGTTAAATAAATAATCATAAATACAATAAGTTATAGCAATCCCTTGGTGCCCAGGCACGTATCTGTCCTGTTCTTACTCTCTCCACTCCCTTTTGACAGCCTGACCTCCCCTTTGCTTATGAGAAATTTCACAGTTAAAGTTTGTTCAGAGTCATAGGTCACAAATGCCCCTAAAAGCCTCCAGCCAACCTAGATGACAAAGCCATGGGGAAATAGCTTAGTCCCACACACTCCTCCCAGGTTCACCAGCTGTGGGGGGCAGGTCCATCCACATGCCGCAGGGAAGCCCAGTGACCCACCAGTGCTCATGCCCTGCTGCCTCAGCGCATGCAGAAACAGACTGGCTACCTCAGCCGGTCCACGAAACTGTCCCTAACTGGGGTGATGGACCAGGTGCTCCCACCTCAGTGAAGAAGTCAGGATATTCTTCCAGTGTCAGAGAAGGTGGAGTTAGAGGGCTTCACAGACCAGCTAATCCACCTGGTCAGCAAGACAGGAAACCGTGAGTTAGTCACCAGAGCAGACAGCCACCCCACTAAAACACAGTCTGCATTCAGCACAGTCCTCTGGTTTCTTCCCCTGGTCAATACTGGCTACAGATTCGCAAGCCAAACATTTCAGCATTTGAAATAAACTTTAAAAATAAATTAAATGTAACATTCACACACAATTGTAAGCGTCTAAGCCTGCTCTGTGGACCCTCCTGTAGCTGCCCTGCTTTAGACCCACTTTGCTCCACGCTGAGGGCGCAGCCTTTCAACTCCCCAAAACTTCTTCCTCATTAACAGCCCTCTTTATATAACAACTGGTCCCCATCCCGTTCCTACCCTCTCCAAGTATCGGCCATGCAATGGAAGGGTGGGTAGGTCCCTGGGCCAGAAACAGCGGTCTGGTTTATTGCCATCAAGGTTTCCTTCATTTTATTTATTTTTTAATTTATTTTAAGGAAAGCTGCTCCCTCTGCATACAAGTGGCCATCAGAGGTGAGATGAAGCCAGTGTATGCAGGTGCATGCAGAATGCCCTCATTCCTTCTTAGGGCAGGGTGGGGAGGGAGGTGTCAGTGCCAAGGAGTATGAGTTCCAGGACCCTTGCTAAGCACCAGCGCTTGGTCCCAAGATACAGCCCATGGTTTTCTTTTTTGGCAGAAGAGGGATTGGGAAGTGAATAACAAAAATAAATACCAGGGTGCTTTCCCAAGTGGGGTCCATTTAAATCAACTGCTCTCCCCACTGGGGAGAGCAGCACAGATATAGCCCTTTCAGCACAGCTGCAGTTGCTTCGCATAGGGATGGCTTATTGATGGGGACTCAAATGCGTGGAGGGCTGAGCTAACTACAGAGCATGTAAAGGGGACACTGTCATGCTGCAAAGAACCCATTTCATGGCTGGCTGAACTCTGCTGATGGAAGCAGAGTGACACCCAGGTAGATCTGAATGAACAGCCCACCACAACCCTCATTTCCTTTAGCAATAATGAAGCACAGAGCATTCTCACAAGGTTCTGATTCAATCTGGTAGGTTTCTGTGCTCCACTGAGTGAACCTGGGCTGAAGCCGAAGGGTTTCCCTGCCACAGAGTCCTTGGGGATGGCTCCAAACAAGCCCCACTCTCTATGGAGCAGGTTCAGTCCTTGCACAACCCTCCTCATTAACAGGCAGCTGAATGCAGTAGGGACTGATGGCAGTAGTGAAGCCTCCCTGTCCTTAGTGGAGCAGGATGAAGTTGACAGTGCCCCCTTTATATACCTGTGGGTCCTTCGGGGGCCCTCACACGCAGGGATGAGCAGGACATTTGCGCCAATTCTTCCCTTTTAAAATGAACAAATACAACAGACAGACAAATAGACAGAAGAGAGGTGTGAGGGCCTAGGTGAGCGCAAGCTGCGGTCTCCCCTGACAGCACCAAGGTGCTGGGAGAGCACAGCCCTCCCCCCACTACATCCCAATTCTACCCCAAAGACGCTCCATTTCAGCCAGTGTTGGAGGTCGGCACCCACTCCTCCTCAATACATAGGCTTTTTTCTCTTAAAATCTGTATATAATATATATATATATTTATATTCTGTATATATATATATATATATATATATTTATATA